CACTGACCTGAAATGTACGGCTTCAGGCCACAGATGCACGCTGTTGTTGTTGTTGTTGTGTTCATGCACACACAGAATCTAGGCCTTCATTGTTAATGAGAAAAAAAACTGCAATATTGTATTTTACAAAACCCCCAAATCTGCAAGAATTTAGAAGTGAAACGCAACAATCACCCTCACCAGCTCCTGATAAATATTCAATACAAAAAAGAAAAGAAAAAAATGGACAAAAGCTTTGATACCATGTGAAATATTTAGCAAGAGGAAGAAAATGTGCTGCTGCTGGGTTCACACCTGAGCAGCTCTCTGGTGATTAAACATGAACGAGTGTGTGGACATCCCCTCATTTTGTTTCTCCAGGTCAAAGCGTTTTACTTTTAACACCTGAGACTGGACCCACAGCTCACAGCGTGATCTCAAGACGTCCTTAAACACACCAGAAACATTCCCAGCTTCATTCTACAGCACTTTAACAGTTAGTTCAGGGACTGCAGGAGAGCTGGACTTTGAGAGCTCTGCGGTTAACGCGGCCGTCCTTTGACGCTCCTATCACCCACCGACAGCTCGCTGCATCCCATCTGCAAGTCACTCTGCATAAGAGCGAACGCTAAACGCTTGAGAATGGCTCCTTAATGCCTAGAGGTCACAGCAATACAGCAGAGATGATGCGATTTAGGCGACAGTAAGTGAGGGAGTGAGGGAGAGGCTTATCTACCAGAGCTCAGCTGATTGCTGCGCTTATCTAATAAACAGGTGGAGCGCCGCACCGTCTCCTCAAAGACAAAGACTGAAGTTTCATCCTGCAGCTATACTCACTAAATGCAGCAGGAAATTGTAGCCTGACTTTCATTGCTGCACAATAACTGTAAAGGCACGGCGTCCTCAAACACCTTTATTAGGAGGCAGAATACCTGCTTTACCTCTCTGCCACAAATCAGACAAATATCATCTGCGGCATGTTTTAGCTTCTTAAAGGAGAACAATTCTGCTCATTTCCAGCATCACATTTTATTCTTAGAGTAGTTTGCGTTATTCACAAGTCTAAATAATCCTTAAGTATCTTATACCAGGCTGTGACGCAGCCCCTCAGCTCATCCACTGTCCTCCTCTCAAAGCAACTTTCACCTGATTGGCTGCCAAGTGTAAATGGAGGCTGGGTGGCACTTATGTGCCTGAGATGACCATTCTAGGTACAACGCACTCTATGACATCATACAGAGCCAAGACAAAAAAGTTTTAAAAAACTCAGTACTTACCTAAGAAACTAAGAATAGACTAGTAATGCTCTTTACTGTCCCTCGTTGGGGTAATTCAATATGAAGCATAATAGGACCCCTTTAAGTTTTTTATGTAGTGACTGTACAAGAGATGAAATGGAGTTCTTTAAATCAGCCTTTCAAACATCAGTTAACAACAACTGAGGCTGGCGATCAATAAAGGCGATCAATACTTTCAGGGGTTTTTTTTGCAAACTAATTAATCCCTTATTCACAAACAACACATAATCCACTCATCTATTTTTCTGAACCTCCTTATCTGAGTCACAGGTGCGCCAGTCAAAACATACGTGTTTAGACCTCCCTCTCCGCACTCACTCCTCCACTTGATGGATCGTTTTTGTTCGCGATGTTGATTGATCTTTGTGCGCAAACAGTGACGCTGCCACAGCTCTGAAACATACTAGTGCTGAAGGCGCGAACGCGCCCTGCAGCATTCTCCTGAAACACAGGAGTCGCCCCTCATATAAAACCTCCACATCTCGTATGTGGGGGAGAAGTCAGAACCGGAAGCAAAGAAAGTTTCATCTTTTCAAACTGTAGCAACAACGCGAGGATACAAAAACTGCTGAAACAACACTGAAGAGTAGCTTGTGCCAGCAGATGTGATGTCACTTTCCGTGGATTAATTATGTGCATTAATAGATCCTGAAGAAGCGATTAATCCCCAAAACGGTGCAGGCATCCACCCTTCTCTGGCTGGAGAACTGTGGCCTCAGATTTGGAGGTGCTAATTCTCATCCACACCACTTCACACACAGATGCCACCTAGCAGGACTACATCATCCCCAAATTCACTTGGTACATGCGACACTATTATCTGTTTCCGGGCCCAAATGCTCGATCAGTTCCCAAAAGCAAACAGTCACTGGCTCACCACCCAGAGGTAAAACAATCCAAATTCCTTTTACTCAAATGGAAAACAGCCCGGCTGCTTCACAAGGTTCAAACAATCAAAAACGTACAGCACCGCTGTAGGTAAAAGGTCGTAAACAGACACGAAAATCTACACACTGAGGATGTCTGGAGGATTAGTGAAGCACATGTAACAATGTGCGACCTGGTGAGTAGCTACAGAACTATGATTAGGATAATAAAAACACATTAGCCCGGGAAACTGTAGGACGAGGATTTAACTGCACTCAGTAAAAGTTCACCTTGATGGTCCCTGAGACAAAATCAGCAAACTTCAAATAAGCCAAACTTTTTAATCTGCTGCTGTGTGGTCTGAGGTACTCACTACGACAAAGTCTTGGCCCTAAATTTAATGTCCACACCCGACACCAGTGGCCTTCAAAAGGCGTTTCATCCAAAGAGTGGGACTGTAGTATTAACCAGCTGGCTAACAACTTGTTTCAATCACTTCCTGTTTGAGAACATTCATTTCAGAACTCCAAGGTTACTGCCACGTTCCAGTTACTTTGGATGTCGGATTTAGTGATTTCCAGTAGGAAAGTCGGAAAAGCGTAGAAGACCAGGGCTTGTTTCACTTCTTAGCAAAGCAGAGCAACTCACGTACCACAAACAAAACAACATAATGCTTGTTGTTTGTTGTAGGCAGGCTATTATTTTAGACATAAGGTTTCAAGTTTCTCTACTTGGACTTTATCTGGACTGTTTCTTACTTTGAAACTAATTGGTTAGTGTGTTGCTTTTCTCACCCGTGCAGTTTATTAATGGGCCGTGGTTACGCTGACAGCTTAACGCTCCACCCTAGCTTCCAAATGTGGACACTTTTGCATCTAAAAAAACAACAAGGTAGTGATCAAGGCCTTCCAAAACCAGTGGGTGACGTCGCTGTGGCTATGTCCATTTTTTACACTTTTTATGCAAGTAACAAGAACACAAAGCATTGTTTCCTATTAGCTGATGTTAACAAATTGGAGTTTTTAAAATCTCTTTGAAGAGATGCCATCCATCTGAGCGGCCTCATCTGCTGCTCGCCGCGCTCCTGTTTTGTAATGACCACAGGAACACGATCCCTTAATGATCCAACGCACACACACACATATATACACACACTGTTCTCACCCCGTGTTTGGATCAGTACACGTGACAGGCCCACACTGACATGTCCGTCGCACAATCAGGAGGCCTGTCATCCTTCAACCTGCTGTGATCCACCACTAACTCCACCAATCCCTCCATCACACACACACACACACACACCTGAATGTTTTCAGGCTGGCTGACGTTGGGCGTGACGTTTCCTCGTCGTCCTGCCGTTTCCATCATTAACCTGTTAGCAGTCGGACGTACCGCCCACGGTACATTGGATGGTTTAGGGGACTAATTGTAAATTTGTAGGACTGCTAAGGGGTTAATAACATCTGCCAGCAGCAGGTTCTGCTCTGATAAACACTCTCGGCTGGATTAGGAGCTCCAGTCGGCCTGCAGCTGCCACACTTTCACCTCAGCATGTGTGTGTGTGCGTGCATGTGTGTCACTGCAGAGAGAAAATAAAGCCTTTTATGAATGATGAGGCTGATCAGAAAGAAACGGGACAGTCTGATGCATCGAGGTTTGACTGCTTTCAGGGGATTTCAAAGGCACGCGCCGATGTTTTTAGATTAAAGCCGCAGTTTCTTGCTTGTCTGGACTAATTACTCGGCACTCGCCCCACAATTTACACTCAGTCTTCATCATCCTCGGAGAACACGTGAAAGCATTTTCAAACACATATACACCACAATCTCCATCACCTTCAACACATCAGATTTTGGCAGCATAACACACACGCACACCTGCACACAAGCAGTAAATTGTTGGCAAAAAAGGGTGGCTCACATCCAGCATGTATCCAGGATCTCTCCCTGTGCAATGTAGACCCTCTCAGGCCTGTATAAATAAAATATGCCCTCCACATTATATAAGGCAGAGATGCTCACTGGCACTGGGATAACAACTGGGTGGGATGTTGTGATTGGGATTCAGTGGCCCATACAGAGGAGAGTGTG